GTGTATGTATATTTATACGTATATGTATGTAGTATATATATATATATATATAGAGATGGAGATAGGGTTTAGGGTTTTCTCTCTGTTGTAATTTTGGACGCAGATGATTGATTCCCATTTCAGTGTGCCTGTCCAATCAGATGTATTTGTGGTGGGCCAACAGCAAGCACAGCTCACCATTTTGTGGCCTTTTTCTTTTTTGGCTCTAATTATAATATTTATATGTTGAACTCTCTCCACTTTAGGTCGTGTTGAGTGTTGACTGTCTCTCGAGCTTTTGAGGTCCCGACTCTTGACTCTCGAGTCACGAATACGAATGAAGGAGAGCAGCCCCGCAGTTGTATTCGGTAGTAATAGTCTGAGATCGTACATTGTATATCAGCAACAGCTTTAGGTATTGTACTGAAACTCTGAGAAAGATGCTTTTAAAGATGATGTTAGCGAGACGAAGCGCTGTCACACACACACTTTTTCGGTATCCAGTACTCCGACCTTTAAGCTGCCTTAACGCTTGTGAAACTACACAATACAGAACACATACACACCTTTCCCGCGCAATGCCTCCAAACGCTTGTACTATGCCAGCTGAAAGCTCGCACGGGATTGGATTTGGGTCAAGGAGGTCGAAATCGGGCATCGCTAAAGATAACATAGTCGACATCGACGAAGTGATAGAGCTGAGTTCGACGCCTAGAAAGGTACGTCCCCCTCAATAGTTTTGCGGATTTTAATCTGCATGATCACTGATCACCGGTGTATTGCAAATATAGATCAACATCCGCCACCTTGGTATTCTTGCAACAAGGTCGTCCATGGTTATTCCGATAGCATTCATACATATCGAATTCTGCGCCGACAGGACTATATACGTCATATGCTCAAATCTGTATAATGGATAATGGCAGAACGAGGATTATCTATATGATATCAGATTCGCGCAGTGGGAGCTCAGATGGCTTAAATATATCGATTTCGACGATAACCCGACGGAATCCAATGGATTATACGACTAGTCATGATTATACTATACATGATACTTAATCACTGTTTTGTCTATCCTTCGCAGGGCACTTTTCTTGTTGATGTGCGGAACAAGCACGAGATGGATTATGGCATTATTCCTTCGGCTGTCAACATACCTTGTAAGTCTATGATTTGTCAGTCACTTTAAGTGTAAAAAGGATTTCGAAGAACTCAATCAATGGTGGGTAATAGTAGCAGTAAATTATCTGATATCAGTGTTTTCATGAACTAGTACCTCGCTTACAAATATGTCGTCATAGTCAGTTATCATAACATGATGGCCTTTGGACGTACTTACATGTATTGAACTATCTATGTGTTCCTATTCGCATTCCAGTACCTGAGTTAATAGAGGCTTTGCAACTGGATGATGAAGATTTTGAGAATGAATACGGTGTCAAGGTAGGCTTCGTGTTTGTTGTCCTTGGTCGGGATGCTGAGTCTTGAAAAGTTCGCAATTGATAGTCGTAAT